CAAACTAGTGATCAGAACACAGTGTGTACAGGTTCATTTATCCCGCCTGGCCTGCCTGCCTGCATGACGGGGGTCAGGAAGGAGAGCGTTGACCCACTGACACCCTCACACAAGATGCTTTGGAACCGGTGGCTCTTTGGATGACATAATGGCCGTTTCGGACCTCAGCAACACTCTCAGTCTACCATCCACCAGGTGCAGACAGTGCTGAGCTATAGACGCATATCTGATGGCATCTATACATACCTAATGTTCAACCATAGGTTTGAACATTTCTGCTCATTTAATGCATGGTTTTTCTGACAGAAAGCTTCCCTGGATTCTGAACGAGTCAGAACTAATGAGGTCTGAAGTGTGTTGAAGTCTGCATGTGTATGTACTGAATGGCTGTCGCCATCAGGGAAATGTGGAGCAATCTGTTCACACAGTGAAGTCAGAACTAAAGATGTTTATTGTAGCTTTTGTCATTGTTTTTTTTTTTCTTTTATTATCATCCATTTTTTGGCACTTTGTCCTTTTTCTCCATCCAAACTGTTGACTATGGGAAAGATTCGTCACCATTCCAGGCTTCGTCTGTCTCAGGAAGCTTGTTGACAGGACGTCCAACACAAGGTCAATCCAGAGGCAGACTCACACCTCAGGTCCCTATCTGTTCGTCTCTGGGACAAGAATCCTAATAACAATTTCTTTGTTTATTTCTGAAACCTTAATTATTAAAATTGTTTATTTTTAATAATCATTTTATTATAAATGATTGAAACGATTATTTGATGAGTTAGTGCAATGTATCCCAGTATTTAATAAACAAACTGGGAGTATTAGGAGTGCACCAATATGAAAGCTGCGACCAAGGTCAATATTTAATATTAATATTGCTGTTTCAGTCCATAACCGATATTTAACAACATTATGGTTTTTCACTATGGCTTTGACACGGTGAAAGGAAAGACCACACCTCTGCTTCAGTTACACTCCCCACAATTCTTTGCTGCATCACCGTCACTGTCACATGACCAACCTCCTCCACTCCCTGTCCAGAACCAAAAGAAAACTAAATATGCTTCATTCATTAGACCGATACCAATATGTTTTAAAAAATGACTGATGTATCGTGCATCCCTAGAAATCAAAATCACAAAAAAAATAATAATAATCATATGTTTTTGTTCTGATCAGCTAGAGACAAAAAATACACAAACTTTATAGCTGCAGTTTTTTCTTCCATTACATTTTTGTTATATTAATAGAATCAAAACGAGAACGAATCAGATCGGAAGTAGAAAAACTAATGAAGACAAATCCTTTATGCTTTCAGGCAAATCCATCCTTATCATGTAAATAAATGATCTCGCGGTAGTTTACTTCATCTGCTTGTGGAACAGTTCTAAGGAAAGAAGGATGAACATTATCTTTTTAGAAAAAAAAAAAAATTCTGTCCTTGTAAAATCGCCTGGCTGGTGATTTTGATCTGCATTCTATAATGTATTTATTGTTTAGCTGCAGGTTATCCTGCGATTATCTTATGTATAAAACAATTGTATCAAGTGGAAAAGAGAAAAGTAATGAACATCAATAAAATGCATAGATGTTCTCGGGAGCCTTCGGGGCAAGTAAAACACAGAGGTTCTAAAATCTAAGTCTGATTGCTTTGTTTTCTAAAACGTTAAAAGCATTTATCCAGTTAAAGCAGCAGTTATGCAGCCAACACATTGTAACTGCAGCTGATGTCAGTGTTTTTAAAGTTTCTTAGCGGGGCGTCCTTACCTTAGACCTTTCCCGGATCGCCTTGTCTCCCAGGCGGCTGGCGCACACGGAGATGAGCCGATCAATCAGATTGAGCAGGAAGCTGATCGCCTCGCAGCCGCGCTCCGAGCCGCTCACCCAGGCGATCTGATCCCCGCGGATGCTCTTGCGGCTGACGCCCGGGATAGAGCCGGCCAGCCGACCGTCTTGGAGCTGTCCGGAGCGATGCATCTCCACCACCTGGTCCAACACGGTGCTTCCGGCCAGATCCCCGAGGAGACCGTCCACGTAGCAGAAGCCGTGGGACAGCAGAGCCGGGATGAGCCGCTCCAAAGCCAGCCGCTCCAAGTCCGTGTTCGACATGTTCTCAATAAAGGGCATTTTGACGGGCGGACTTGAACTGAGGTAGAGTGTTTAAAAAGTTCAGCTAAATTTTACAAACACAGAGAGAAAAGTTGCGTGTGCGGACAGCTGTCAGAGACTCAGCTGAGCCTGAGTGGAAGCGCAGATGTTCCCTGTTGAACTGCTGTCAGAAAACGTTCCACAGCTAAGGGAAACACAGGGCCGTTAGAAACACTGAAAACTGCAGAGACAGACACTTTGCCAACATACTGCTTCCGGTAGGCACTTCAAAATAAAATGTCAGCTTTAAATCTCAAAATGACATTACGTGCCTCTTCTATGCATGTAAGCTACTAATCAATATGCAGAAAACAATGGAATAGCATCAAAATATTAATTTGTTTGTTTCACAGTAGAGCAATTACATTCCAACAGCAGATAAGTAACTAGAAAAAAGAAATGGAAAAAAAGAACATCCCCCTCTTCTTTTAAATCAGAGGAAAAATTGTATTAATAAAACAATGAAAGAAAGAAACAGCTCAGCAATATTCAGAATCCAGCTTTTGCAACAAGTAGATGAAGATAGAAGAGGCAGGGCTCTTAGGTCTAATCCAAATGAGGTTAGCTGTTAGCCCTTACTGTAAACATTTTAAAATATGAATATATAACAAAGGTTAAATAAAAAAATATATATACTCTTTCTATGTACAGTGTTTTCACAAAAAGAAGGAGACAAGGTTGAATTAGTGCACATTTGTAAGGTATCAATCTGAGTCATCATGGTGGAAGAAGCTGCATCTCTGTTGAAGATGCAGCTTCTTGCAAACAGCACTCTGAGGTCTAAACAGTTCATGTCCAGGATGTGTGGGGTCTGCAGAGATGTTGCCTGCCCTTTTCTTTACCATAGAACTGCACAAATCCTGTATTGAGGAAAGCTCAGTCAAGATGATCCTTTCCACTGTTTGGACTTGTCCTGTTCTGTAGATGAGCCAACAGTGAAGGAGGAACACGTGTCAACTTTCACACATTTAGCCACCAATCCTACTGTTTGTATCAGTGTTTCAGCTGTTTTTACCATACAACAGCTATTCATCATGAAACAAAACCAACATGTCGCAACAGTGATACTAGGGCTTTATTTTGAAAAGCAGGTTCTACATGTTCCGCTGTTGTTCCAGCTGCTTCACATAGAGAATGTGTGTGCTGAATGTGAGAGCGGTGTGGGACGTGCTGAATGTGATGTTCGCTGTGAGTAGAGGAACGGAGGCAGGAGGGGGCGAGGGGGTCACTGGCTTTAATGACAACACATGACGTCACATTTCTTATTAAAAGTATATTTTGGGAAAAGTAACCGGGACTCGGGAGCAAAGTTAGACCCGCAGCATTTCAGAGGTTGTGGGTTCTCCTCCCGTCAGCAGTGGAGCTGAACATATGTTCTTTGTGTTCTACAACAAGTTCAGGGTTAAAAGACAACACGAGCTGTTTACGACGTGCTCGCGCACTGGGCGTACCCGGCGCCATTGAGAACAACGTGGAGAACATGTAGCTCTCGCGACTTCACCATCACAGTTCCTGTTAGCAGTGGACGTGATCTTCGCCACGCGCAGAGAAAAGAAATGTTGCTATAGCTGCACAATATAGCAGACTTAGGAAATGATGGGCATTAGCATTAGACATGGACATAACAAACTTATTGTTATTATTGTTATTCATCAGTCAGCTCAAAACAAAACGGATTCAATGGACAAGTTGCGTGTCGGTTCCTGTCTATTTATATGACCAGCAGAGACCGTAAGAAACACCGAATACTGAGCAAAGTCACGGAGTAAAGTTAATTGTTGCAAAGGCATTTAAACTTTGTAGTATTTTATCTTCTTTGCAGCTCCAAACTTGGCCAAAAATGTACAATGATTGTGTTGTTTAAGAGAGTTAGAATAAATCTGTGAAGCTGAAAGAAACTGATGAGGTTTCACAAATAGAATTCAAAGAGTGGAATGCATTTCATTCAGCACTTTCTCACCCGACATGTATAAGTGCGTCAAAAATCGCTGTCTTACACGTTTTGACACGTTTGTATCATTTCACTATTCCACGTATTTCTCCAGAAATGGATTTTTGACATCATGCAACTTCAAAGTCAATCTTTCCTTCTCTAATACTATTTCAGTATTAATATATTTACATTTACATTTCGAATTACAAACTCCGAGCTTCCATAAGTGGGTCATGACCCACATTCATTTTCTATGCAATTTTATTGAAATATTTGGTACCGATGGATTTTGACTGACAGTAATGTATACTTTGTCAGCCAAACACAAGTCTCAAAGTTGTATGTGTACAATTGCTAATCATCAATTTTATTCAATTCAGTTTATTATAGAACAACTTTACAACTGTTTTTAGTTTTGTTCTAAAACCGATGACAAAATGTAATCTCAAGGGTCTTAAAAAACAAAGTAATTTCAATCCATTCCAGTTGTTCAGTTCATTATTCAATTAGCTTAAGTTTTCTAAGGAAAACACTGATGTGGACAGCAGATAATTAATTGCATTGTGACTTTGGAGAAATCCTTCATACTGAGCATGCATGTAGCATACTTGATATGTTACATACATACGAAGTATGCATGCTCAGTAAGCTACATGAGCAAAAATTCCCTCTATTATTGTGTATCTTTGTATGTGTGATTCGTCACCATCATTCATTTTGTCAATCTTTTCTGAACTAGCCAACACCACCTTATTTATATGGTCTGTGTGTCATTCATGACTGAACTAAAATCATTTTCTTTCATTGTCTTAAAATGCAAGAAAATATTTTATATTTTCTATCAATAGACAACAAAATATGTTTCAGATTTGACTAAAATCCATCTTACAAGACAAAACTTTAAACATGATGAAAACCAGAAGAAGGTAAAACAAGTACAGGTTTAATCATTTCAGATATATAGAATTGTATTACTTCACCAAAACATCTCGTTAAGTCAAATTATCTGACTGCAAAACTTTACAAATATGTATACAAGATATATACATTCAAGAAAAGTACATATTTTAGCAGGAGAAAGTGTTAGCTGTGGCAGTGAGAGTTTATGTTGCTAATAAATGCAACCAAAATATAAAAAGGATATCCAATATTTTGTTATAAGGACAAATTAGCTTTGTCCTAATTAGATTAGGCCTTATTTTGACTGATTTTCTTTCCCACTAAACCTTCCTTTCGACAGTCCAGTAAATCCTTCCTGCATGTATTGATCAAGTGCTGGAGGAACAGATTGTTATGGTCCACTGAGCTTGTATATAAGGAGCTGCACTGGATTGAGAATAGACCCCAAATTCTCACAAACCTTGTGAAAATTTAGACCAATTTCCAGAAATTGGATCAAATTTTGGTCAATTAAAATGGGGATGGAGATAACTGCTGCTCACAATGTGCCTGAGGATTGGTTGAAGCATTTCAGAGATTAAAAACCACAGTTAAATCTCTGGAATGAACAATAAAGGAAAACTGAAAAACAACCTAAACCTTGAATTGTTTAACCCTCCTGCGGTCTTGCCAGGACAGACAACGGGGAAGCGCACACATGGTCACTGCAATCCCACCGGACTGGGTACAGGGTCCAAAGCTTGAGGGGTTCAATGGACCACGGGAGGGTTAACTTTTTTTTTTTACATTACAAACATAAATAGAAAGTATCTATTAAAAAGCATATCTTGAGTTACAGGAAAATTAGAGATGTTTTTGTTCTTTACAATCAGATTTTCACAATCATTTCATTGCAACACATTTTCTAGATCTATTGCCTGTAAAGAAATTTGTCTGCTTTTTACAGTTTATAACTCATCTAGGAAGAGCTTGACTCAAGAGCTAGAATTTATCAAAGTTGTGATTAGTGGAATTAATTTTACATATATTTATTGTCCGTTTATAGATTTGAAGTTAAGAATCAAAAAAGTCATAATGGTTAGAAAAATGTTAAAACTTTTGCTGATTGTTTCTTTATGCTCAATAAGTGAACTATAATTTTGGGATGCAGAGTATCGCAACCATCTACTTTATTAGTTCCAAAAAAAATAAAATTAAAAAATCAGATAAAAAAGGTAAAATATAACTAAAAATAATGAGTCTGAAAGGAAAGTTAGAAGATAAAATAATAAAAAAATCTATATTAAGGATTGTGTGCCACAAAGATAACTACAGTATCATGTGTTATGGTGCTAAAACTGCTTGCTGTTAACTAGCTGTAACAGAGCTAACAGGCTCTCTGGAGAGGCTTTATGCTGCATATGATTTAATTGTCCAGATCAGGTTGCTGAGCTTCATCACAGGAGGTGGAAAGCTCCAGATCTAAAGATCTCATCCTGCTCAGTCAGTTAAACAACTAAACAAAGTACAGTCCAACAAAAGACACATCACTCCAACAGTAAAGTGCACTTGAGTCAAAGTGAAAAAACAAACATCAGCTGAAACGAAGCACTTCTCCTCCAAGTAAAACACTGCTTACAATGTCCGCTCTCACAGCGGTTGGATGTAGTCTTACATGGCCTCCAGCACAGTGACCCCAGGTTCCACTTTTGATCTGGATTCCATGAGGAGAGAAGTTCTGCAACAGTACGACTTCAACCAAAGACGTGTATCCAAGCAGAGAAAAACAGAGGGCTGTTGGAGGATGTGGTAGGCGGATGGATGACAGGCTGGATTAGTGGAACGCCAGAGGAGACGGCTCACTGGACAACCTCAAAGTAGTGGAGGATGGCCATGATGTGCTGCGGCATGAAGACGTAGCCAGTGTAGATGGCCATGGCAGCCACGGAGATCAGCAGAGAGTCTGACAGGCAGAGATTAAGGAAGAACTTCCTATTGGAAAATAGACTCTTTCTGCTGTGAGGGATTATAGTTATTAGCAGCATCGCATCATAAAACAACAAGTACACTGCATAGAGATTCCTTGTAGAGACGAAAATTAAGGTGAGGGTTAAAGGTTAATGCATGGCATCTATACTATGTTAGAGGAAGAAGAAGATCAAAAACTTGGTTGTGTTTCTATTTGGGCTGGGACATTAACATATTAATTGTGATTAGTTACAAAGATTTTAATGGAGTCTCTTTCTCTTAAAACATACCAGAGCTGGGACCTCCACATCTGTGTGTTTCTGGTAAATCCGACATCTACAAACAGCAGCGGTAGAAGATGAAGCAGCTCGTTTTGATCCATTGGTTCATTTCTGCTTCAAAAACCAATCTGATGCGACGCTGCAAAAAGACTATTGTTGTGTTTAGGTTGTGTTGAAGGAGTTAGTCTCTCAATTAAGCTATTCACGCCTGAAATAGCATCGCAATGCAAAATATACAGCAGCAGCACAGACATCCCCCACAGTTAAATGAGTGATTAAAGCTTCATGAAACTCCAGAAAGATGAAAGAAGAGAACAACACTTTGCTCCAATCTGATGGTTGAAGAAACAAAGGAACAGACTAAAAAGAGTAAATACATTTGTGGTTGACTTCATTTGTCTATGTATCCAGTAATTTTGTAGTTTTTGGAATTAAACCATTACTTATTTTGTAACTATGGTATTAGATTCAAACCCAGTTAATTTTGTATAAATCAACGCAGCAATTAACTTGATAAAAGATTTTTATTAAGTCCCATCCCTGGTCTTCATTAATAAAGTAGAGTTTTTATTTATTTATTTATTTATTTATTTATTTAAATGAATGAAGGTTTCAAACTCGTCAAAAAACACAAACAAAAGACAAATGTTTATTAGTTATAACAAGGTTTCTTGAGCTTAAAATTAGATTTGTTGGAAAGGTTGTTTGAAATTGTGACACGTTTGTGGAGAATACTGACTTTTAAATTGAACAGCAGACTATTATGTGGGCAGTGCTAATTACAGTTACTAAATGACAATAATGTATCTTTTTGGGAACAAAATGTACTTTTAAGAGTAATAGCACAGTGACACTGTGCTATTAACTTTCAATTGAGCAATCTTAACAGTAACAATACTCTTCCCTGAGTAAAATTTATTTTCTAGTGTGAATAATTTCACTGAAATAGCAACAAACATGTTTTAACCAATAATGCACCAGTCAGTTTCTGTTAGAGTGAGAACTCTTGTTTATGTACAAGCTCTAATATTATTTTCCATCTGCTGAGTCTGTCAGGCCTTTTGGAGAACAATAAGATACAGATTCCTGATAGGCTCTCTAATCAAATTTAATGACGTGCCCAATTAAGCTGCCTTCAGTGCATTACTAACTTTAATAATCTGGCCATGAGTCACTTGTTTTTCAACACAATCTTAAGTTTATGTTTTTGAAACTGAATTAGTCCACAATAAGCATAAATGCTTTAATTAATTCAGTGTTTCTCAACCTTTCTTGGGCCAGCGCCCCCTATCCATTATCTAGGTCCTTTACCGCCCCTCTGCAAATGAGATGAGCTACAACTACTGTTAACATTATGACAAGTATTGTTTCTGAATTTATTATTAAAAATAATTTCTTTAAGCACATCTATGAATGATAAAGAGATTTATTAGTTTCTTGGGAAGCAAAAATGGCACAAGAATAAAAGTTATGCACAGCTGCTTCAAAAAACATTTTTTAATTACTTTTTAAAAAAGCAGACTAAATTTAACTTAAATTAGATACGCCAATCAGAACTGCTAAAAATTTCAGTTCAAATGTTCATTACCAATAATAAACAGGAACCAATCAGAAACAGCCAGCAATCTACCATTCATTAATTAATTAAATAACAGCCAATCAGAAAAGCCAAACAATGAACAGAATAATTGTTCCAACATAAAAGAATCGACCACTTAAGAACAGAGAACAAAGTAGGATTTTTAGGCCTGAAACAGGAGAACCGGGATATAGAACGACTAATGTGACTCTGGATCAGACTATTCGGCAGTGAACAGTGAAAAATCAATATGAGTGGCAAATTAGGTGAAAGACACGATGATTAAGCGGCACAACAGTGAAGATTACTGGTGGTGAGCATCAATACAAACGATAAAATAAAACTAGCAACAGGAAAGAGACTAAAGAGGACATAACAATAAACCAAGAGAGGATAATACTAATCAAAGAAAACTAAATGGAAATGGATGAAGAACAAAATGCAAGAATTAACTAAAACTAAAGTAAATACAGAGGAATAAACCTGTATGGCTAAACCTTTTGAGCAATAATTAACACAGAAGACTATATGGCAAGAATAAACAGTCATTGTTTTCAGATAAAAGGTAAAATAATATTGTTCAAGTGCCATGAATTTGTTGAGACCATATCTAGTTCTAAGAAGAAATATATCTTACAGACCAAAGCAGTAATAAGGAGCTTATCGCTCATTTATGTTTTTAATTAGATTATATATTTCTTCCAATATTATTTTTTATGTCAGTGTTAATGTCACGAGGCTGTTCAGTGACTCCATGACACTTTAAATCTGACTCATTAGGATTTTAATAAGAGCCAGCTTTGGTCTTTGCAATTTCTGTTCAGTAAAACTATTAATTTATAAATAAATAGTCAGGTCTATATAAAGATATAATCCATGTTTCTGTCCCATATTTGTATGGCAGTGAAAGCACAAAATGCCTTGGGTTTTACAAAAGATACTCTAATGTCCCATTCTCCTGAAGGCAGCACACAACTGCACCACCAGAAACTGACGGAAACACTGAAGACTTTTGATTATACAGTTACAGTTTTATCCTTGTTTTGAGTATTGTTTGCACTATCGTTTTGCAAATAGATCAAAGTCTAATGACAAATACAGAAACCATAAAAATCAAACCCATATTATTCAAAGATGTATCAAAGATTGTAATTGATGTTAAGACTTTTAAGTTCACAACAACACAAATTCATAGAGAGCTACAAAGAAAAGTCGCAGTTGTCAGCCGATATTGGCCCAGTATTGCACCGACAAGTGCTGTTGATGTAATGCACTTGTCAGGGCGTACGTCTCTGGTATTATAATATTTCATAATCTATTTTTGTTTTGTGTTCATATGCTTTGGAAATGCTGTGCCGCAGTCAAACCAAAAAAGCATCTTGTGCTGAAGTGTTTTAATGTGTGCCTGCATGCTGGGCGTTTTAAAGGGAAGTCTGAAAACAAAATATCACTCTTGGAAAAGAGGTTTTTAATATCAATTAATTATGTTTCCCTGGTTAAATAAAGAATACATGCACATTGCATATTTAACCACTGCAATAACAATTCGCTCACCTCGTATCCTTGATAAATTTTAACTTATTTAAGAGAATCGTTTTTCCAGGAGTAATACCACTAAAGAGAGAAACTTTATGAATGTACCTTACAAAGCTCCGCCCATAACCGACCTAGAAAATCCCACGTGGCCGGAAGTCTCACAAACAAAGCCTCGCGGTGCTTTGTTTCTATGTAAACATGGGATCTTCCACTTGGACTGATAGAATATTTCTGAGTCGATTATTGCATCATTCCTGCCAGATTTTCACCAAATATCAGTTACAACAATGGACAGAGGAGAACCATTCTTTCTCGATTATTGATGTGAAAACTTTTCACCGATCTGCTCGTCCACAATGTAGCCTGGCGCTACGTTAGCATGTGTTTATGAATGCATGTACATTAGCTAGTGTTTGTGAGTCGGCCACATACGTAGTAGCGCAATACTACGTCGAATGGGCATCAAGCCTATGAAACCCGGGCACTGTGGTAAGGTCCATGATGCTCTGATGTCCCACTTTCCTGAAGGCAGCACTGAGATGCGCTTCAGCTGAGAGAAACAGAAAAACGATCAATATCGTTACAATTCCTTGTGGGTTTTAATGTTTCAGACCAGTTTCTTGCAAGTTGTTCAAAGATTAAACTGGTATTGTTGTGGATCTTTGGTGTAAACTTTACCTCCAAGCAAACGCCCCCAAAAGAATGTCAGCGCCCCCTTTTAGTAAATATTGCCGTCTGCTACCCCGTTATCCTCTCAACGCCCCCGTTGAGAAACGCTAAATTAATTAGTCATGTCCCGTCAAAACGAAGCAGTGACGCAATGACAGATCCATCGGTTAAACCCAAGCATCCATTCATCTTCTCTCGTTTTCATTTGAACGGGCCAGGTTAATGAAAAAACTACGGTTGTCACGCAACAGAAAGAGTTATCACCAGTTTCAACTATAAACAAGCTCTGTATTCAGAGAACTTTCTGACGCAGGTGGAGATTCTCAGGACAGAACAAGGGCTGGGAATTAAAACCTTTTTAATTCCCAGGTGAAAACAATAGGAAGTAAACGCACCTTCCTATTTAAATACATAAAAGAAAATCATTTTAATCGTAAATTCGTGTAGTTTAAATTTATTACTCACTTGACGTGAACCTCAAAGACAATTTAACTCAAGTTGTGTCAAATTATCACTGAGCCTAACGTTAAGGTTAGCTTCCGCTAGCTACTAGCAACAAGTTTTGAGTCATTGTGACACGGAAAAGGATACTGAACACCGTTCTCTCCCAGGGTTCCAGCATGTACAGCGCTGTCACTAAGAGGTACTGGTAGTAAAACCAGGTCAGCTGCTTCCAACAGTCTCCAAGCGCCATAGTCCAACTTCAGAATACTTCAACTTAGCTTTCACCAAGCTTGCCTGTTCCCCGGTATGTCTTCCGGCGTTTCCAGAGTGACTTCCTGTATTTCGTTTGGTGTTTATTTTCAACCAATCACAGCTCAGTTTTCTATTGCGCGAATATGACGTAATCCAGGACAGACACATGAAGATGGCTCAGGATTCGCGGGGTGAAAATGTTCATCAGTATGTCAGCACCATACTGATTACTTAACAGAACAATTATTCATTGGTAACTCTGGTCTGACCCATTTTTAAGTATAAAAACAAATAAATGTATTATGAAGCCGCACGCAGCTCCACGCACCTCTATGGAGCTGCGTGCGGTACTTCTCATGCCTGGATAAAACAAAACACAGAACGGCTCTTATTATTAGAGAACTAATAAGAGCGCATATAAGCAAACCAGCATCTACTTTTTTGGGACAATATCTTTAATGATATTTGCTGGAAAGATGTCTGGTTAGGAAAGGAAACCATCACTCATCTTTTCTGGGACTGCTCTAATATTCAAATATTTTGGAAACATGTTTTTACTCCTAAAAAGAAAATTGGAAATAGATGTACCATTTAACTTTAAAAATATATTATGTGGCTTTTTGTATTTCAACACTCCAAGAAAATAAAGTCTTTGTTATAAACTTAATATTAATTTTAGCTAAATGTAATATCCACAGCTGCAAATTTCCTAAGTTGAAACCCAAATTGAATGCTTTTAAGCCTGATTCTTCGTATTTGCACTCTGACGTACTGTACCAATACTAAAGTTTTAAAGACTACTTCAATTTGTAAAGAATTTATCATGTAATCTGCCCTAATTTTTTGTATTGAACATTTTCCTGTTTGTAACCTTTTCCTCTTTTTTACAATTTCCTGTTTGTAATTTTTGCTTTTACCTCCCTTAAGCCTCACAGTTCAAGTTACTGTTTAGATAACTTGTTGGACATATTATTGTAAATAAAAAAAAGGTTAAATATAAGAACATTTTGCATTATTTGAGAAGTATGTGAATAAAATGCTATGTACAAAAAAAGGTTCAGTATTCACGAATAATATCACTACTACTATCAGTAGTAATGATACTAGTATTATACTACTAGTGTGCCAATGATAATTATGATATACTACTAATACTTACTAGTATGATAACCCTAAGGGCAGATTTGTTTTTTATGAAGAGACAAAAACTAAGGGAAAACATTAAAGTTTACTGAAGTAATAGCAAAGATGATGTTAATAAAAAAAATCCAGCTGATGAATAACACAAGATTACTTCTCATCAAGTCTGTCTTTTGTATTCTACTGACCTGTGACCATAAACATTTCACCATAAATAAGTTATCCACAAAAACATCTTAACGCTTTCAGAACTGTGCAGCAAATGATAGTTGTTAAAAAAGAAGCAGATATTAAAATTCCAACTGTTTAAAAGTCTTTTAGTTGTTTAACAAGTTGCTGAAAACAAAGAGAATTATGTGGATTTCACAATATGACCTCAGAGCATGGACCTAAAATGCATTCCCAAGCAAAAGAAAAAAATAGTTCTTGTTCCAGAAGTGGACTGGGATGTGAAGTAGTAGTTTATTAGGCTGTGGAAGACTCTCTGACAGTCTGAGGTGAATCTCTATGAAAAGTGACACTAATGCAGGAAACTGGACTTTTTAAAAGTTGAGAGGAAATCCAGCTCTTGGATTTTAGTCAAAACAGCTAAAAACAGTTTCTGTTGGACGAGATTCCACAGACAAACTGGAAAACAGACAAAAGATGAATTTAGGATTTGAACCCGTTCAGTCCACCTCAGCAGTGACTGGCCAGTATGTTAAAGAAATGGTAGACCTCGTCTTTGTCAAAGACTGCCACCTCTGTGGAGCACTCAGAACATTTCACAGGGTGGTAGATCTCATCAGAGTCCATGCCTGCCGGGCTCGGGCTGGCAGCCTCTACTGTCTGGCCTCTCCTCCTTTTCCTGGGCTTTTTCTCCTGCTGCGTTTTGTAGCGCAGCACCTCATCTGTCTTCACTGTGCAGTTCATCACAAACATGGCTCGATACTGCGTGCGGTACTTCTCATGCCTGGATAAAACAAAACACAGAACGGTATTTATTCAACAAAGTTTCCAATTCATTCAACACTGCTTTGAGATGTTACAAATCTTTCCTACTTTTTAGGCAGCAAAGATGATATTTCATGGTGGAATGACACCAGCAGTTGTTCCCTACTCTGCTAATCCATCTGATTTGCTTTTGCCACTCTTTTAAGTTATTGAGTAGGACTATACAGAAGCTGCTCAGAGTCAAAATTGGAGACAGCAAAGAGAAGTAGAGGAAGAAGCAGGAGAATAAACTGCAGAAGAACAATATCAGAGATGTGTGGTCAGGGATGAAGATTATAGGATTCAAATAAAAGGAGGATCAGCTTGATCGGGGCACCCAAAATCGGTCCTCGTGGGCCAGCATCCTACATGTTTTAGTTCTCTCCCTGGCGGTAAAGTACCACCAGGGAGAGGTATTTCAACCTGAAAAGGTTGAAATAACCTTTTCAGCATGTCAGTGTTCTTCTTAGGCCTTCTTACGAGCCATTATTTGATCCAGCCGCATTAAACTAGGGAGAGAACTAAAACATGCAAGATGCTGGCCCTCGAGGACCGACTTTGGGCACCCCTGAGATAAATGGATGCTTGTTCCTGAATAGGTTCTGTTCAGGAACAAGCTCATCATCATCATCATCATCATCATCATCATCATCATCATCATCATCCTTTCCTGTCCAGAGTCAAACACACATCCCACCTTCCTCTAACCTACAGCTTTCCTGTCAAACCTCAGATGTTCAAGTTTCCATGAATTCTTCTGCTTCTACAAATTTGTCTTCAACCGAATTAGGAGCTGCTGCTGCGCCCACTTCTCTGGATTTAGAAGTCAGATGAAGAACCAGATCAAGGCTGGAGGTCCAGATGGTGTCATGCCCACAGTCCTGAAGGCCTGAAGCTGCATAGCGGCTCTGTGGGATTCTGCAGCATCTCTTCTGACCCAAGAAAAGGTTCTGTTGTGGAAGACATCCTGTCAGGTTCTGGTACCAAAGAAAACTCAGCCATCAGTCATTAATGACTATAGACCAGTAACCATGACAACCCACATCATGAAGGTCCTGGGGAGCCTCCTGTCTGAATAAGTGAACAAGCTCATATCAGGACCCCCTGCAGTTTACTTATCGCCATGAAGATGGAGTTGAAGGTGCCATGATACACCTTTGTCAACAAATCCACTGTCATCTGTACAAAGCAGGCAGCACTGTGAGGGTCATGCTCTTTGATTTCTCCAGTGAATTTTACACAAGTCAGCCTGATCTGCTCTGAGACAAACTCCAGAAGACAAAGGTGAAAACCTCAACAATCACCTGGATCTATGACTATCTCACTAACGGAACACAGTTTGTGAGACTGAGGTGGTTGTGTTTCTCCTGACCTCTGACAGTCTAGGCAGAGCGTGGTCATGCAGGCAGGACAGTTCAACACGGCGTCACTACTGGGGAGGCGATGGTTCTGGCCGGCCTGGGACCGGGATGCTGTGCTCAGATGCCTTCTGCCGTTATACCTTCACAGAATGAAAGAATGCCGATTTACACTGAGAGGAAAAACATCATTCTGCTGCACTTTCATAGCAGTAAAAAGGTCATGCTTGTACCTCCTTGCGTCCACCCAGGCCTGGTCCCTGTCGTCCTCGTCTGGGTCGTACAGCAGCTCATCGTTACTGGGAACCATCCGCTGCCTGCGCCGCCGGTCTGTGGAGCTGCCTACAGTACAGATTCAGATCACTGCTCAAGACTCAACATGGCTTCTTAAACCAGCTGACTGTTTTTTCCTCCACACTTTCTAACATTAAATCAGAGTTTTCCTGCTGCAGATCAGTTGGTTGAACTCTGGTATAGAGTTTACTTAATACACGTCAGCACCCAAGTATTATCAGCAGCAGAACTTTGAAATGATTATGTAAATAAATGGACGAAAGAATCACTGCCTGAGCTGCTCACATCACACCCTGATCTATCCAAACTTTTTTCTTATTTAAATATCTTTCTTCTCCTAATTTTAAGGGGTTTGTTTTGTTTGTTTGTTTTTTTGTAGGGGGAGGGTAGTTGTAAAATTATGTTTTTACTTTGCTAATATTATGACTATATTCTTGAAATCAAACAAAAAACTCTGGCTGTACAACTCACAAAAGGAATGATTGGAATGATGCCATTTTGGAAATATATGTTTTGTCATTTGTAATTTCCCCATTTAACATTCTGAATTAAATAACACGAAACTCAAAAAGCCCCAACATCCTCATCTGGGAGTATAAAAACTTCTGAATTAGAAGGAAAGCATTTATCAAAATTCTAGCTTCTAGTAAACAGAGAAAGTTATAGTAATATTAACTGACATGATTTAGGCATAGAGAGAAAGAAGGTATTTTTCATGAAGAAACCATGCAGACGGATATCTTACCTGGAGTGTCGTCATCCTCTGAGTCAGAATCAAAGTAGACCTTATCGTACATCTGAGGTTTGGAAACGCAGGAAGCTCCAGCACTTCCTCCACCTGTGGGATCTGTCACAGAATATTTATGTTAGTTTATTTGAAAATAGATTCTGGCCAACAACTCACAATATTCAAATGAGGGTTGAAACAATCTGATTTATCAATTACTGAAACAATCATCAACTACCTCAGTAATTATCTAAATGTTAACTGGAGCATACAGACTCACTAGAAGGCCATTTGCTGAAGGAATAAAACAATTAGAACAGTAATGAAGCCCAAACTGGACAAGACACATTTAAGATGTTTTTGAATCTGTTCTCATATCCTTTGCTATTTATTTTGCAATCGACTTTGAACATTCAATCCTCTGAATTTCCAAACAGACAAACTCTAAATAGCGTGAATCATCTCGACTCAGTGAGACGCAAATCCTGAACAATGGCAATTTAAAGAGTAAACCAACTTACCAGCTGCTGGTCCCCAGGTTCCCTCCATGGTCCGGATGGTGGAGCTAAGTTCGGCCTCCATCTCTTTTTCAAA